GGCCAGACAGAGGAGCATCAATCAGTTCGGCTGAAAAGCAGAGCAGGGAACATAGGCTTGGCAGGCTCGGTTGGGACATGGGGGTGACGTTCCTCCTGAGGACTCTGGTGCCCACCTGGGCCTGGACCTGGATGCCCGGGTCCCAACGGCAACCAGGAAAACCTGTGCCGAATTGCACCTCATGCGTCAGCCAGGGGCTCTTTTGTCGAGGTGTGTGATTTGGCCATAAGGCAGAGCCGCGGGGGTTGACCGGATGCAGCGGTTTCTGTGTGGGGCTGGCATGGAAATTGTTACCAACATTGGGGAGGGGGAAGTATCCCCTGCCCGCTGCCAGTGCATTGGTGACTGGAGGCCGGATGCATTTGATTCTGCCAGGGCAAAGTGCGGATATGGCAACCTTTGTCCCCATGTGTTCACATGAATTGTGAGTCAGTAAGTGCCTGGTCTGACTTCTGAGGTCTGGGTCTTGAGCAGCCAGTGCCCCCGGTGCATGAAGGAGCAAGCAGTGCTCCACACATTTGTGTGTCCGTCCCCCCGGCCAAAGGTCAGCAGGAGGAACCCCTCGCCCTCTGACAGCCTGGCCTTGGCACTGGCAGCAACCCCAGCAAAGGGAAGGCCACATCCCAAGGAGGACCCTCTGGCCATTCCCGGCTCCCTTGAAAGTGCTTCTGTCTCCTCTGCCCACCTGTTGAAAAGGCACATGGGTTCGTTCACACAGGTATCCATTCCTGGGAGGCTCCTTTTGCTGCGGCCGCCTCCTCCCTTAGAATCATAAAATGTTTTCACTTGTTTACAAAATAGGGGTTTTCCAGGAAGAGGCAGAAATTGTGTTTGGAAACATAGCAGTATTTCAGATACATTTTGAGTGTGATACTAGTACTATGTACACAGTGTACCATATTTTGCATGTTTAAAGTTTCAAAAATAACAATAAAGGCATCTGTGCTCTGGCACGTGGATCTCCATGGTCACTGTGCAAACTGGAAAGGGAGTTTAGATGCTCTGTGTGGCTGAGTTTAATTTTAAGAAACAACGGGGACTGCAGCCAGAAAATCAGAAGAAAATTAAGAATGGGGAGGGTGGCTATGAAAGATCCTAAAATGCAAAGATATACAACTCAGCACAAAAGTCAGAATCATACAAGCCATTGTTTTCCCTGTTTCCATGGAGGGATCTGAGAGCTAGACAGTTAAGAAAGAGGATAGGAGGAAACCAATGCATTTGAGAGAATATGTTTCTGGAAAAGAGTGCTGAGGATCCCATGGAGAGCCAAAAGGATCAACAAAGGGATCCTAGAGCAGATCAAGCCGGAAATCTCCCTGAAAGAAGAAGCCAAGATGACCAAACTGAGGCTGTTGTACTTTGGAGACATTATCCAAAGCCGCCTCAATTGCCTTGCAGAGGGGCAGGTTAAAAATAAAATGTATTATTATTACTATTATGAGAAGGCAGAACTCACTGGAAAAGATAATAATGCTGGGAAAGGTGGAGGAAACTAGAAAGAGAGAAAGGCGACATGCCAGACGGATGGCCTCTATTAAGGAGGTCATGGGTATATGTACAGGAACTAAATGGAGCAGCGGAGGACAGGGGTCTTGGAGATGTCTCATCCACAGCGGGGTTGCCATGGGTCGAGATCAACATCAACGACAAAATAAGCAAAGGTCCTGATTTTGTTTTCAAGGATCACTACTACAGTGCAGTCTTTCTCTTTTGAGAAATGTGTTGTTGTTGTTCTTGAAGTTAACTGTGGTCATGACTTCGACTTATAGAGATCCTATGAGAACCCTCCAAGTCACCCTGTCCCCCAGGCCTTGCAGACTCTGTGGCTTCCTTCACTGAGTCCATTCACCTGGAATGGGGTCTCCCTCTTTCCCTCCGCCTGCCACCTTCCCAACTTTTCTAGAGAGTACTGTTTTCACATGATATGTCCAAGGTATGACAGTCCCAGCTTAGTTGTTTTGGCTGCTGGGACCCTTCAGGTTTGATTTGCTCTAGGATCCATTTGTTTGTCTTTTTAGCTGTCCATGGAATCCATAGAACTCTTCTCTAGCACCACATCTCAGATGAATTGAATCTCTTCCTATCTGTTTTCTTCACCATCCAGCTCTCACATCCAAAAATAGTGGTGGGGAATGCAATGGCATGGACAATCCCAACTTTAGAATTACAACAACAACAACAACAACAACAATAATAATATCATCATCATCATCATCATCTCACCTTTCTCCCAATATCAGGACTCAAGGTGGTGAACAACAAGTGCAGTCAGCCCTCCTTATCCACATATTTTTTTATCCATGGATTCAAGCATCCATGGCATGAAAATATTTTAAAAATATATAATAAATTCCAGAAAGCAAGCCTTGATTTTGCCATTTTATATATTTTTCTATGCCATTGTATTGAATGGGACTTGAGCATCCATGGATTTTGGCAGGGGTAGGCAACCTTTCCCCTTTAAGGGCCGATGGACTTCAGCTCCCATAATCCCAGGAGCTATTGGCCAACATGGGGCTATTGGCCAACATGGCTGAGGCTTCTGCGAACTGAAGTCCCTTGGCCATTAAAGGGGAAAGGTTGCCTACCCCTGGATTTTGGTATCCACTGGGGGCCTTGGAACCAAACCTCAGCAGATGACAAGGGACCACCGTATAAAACAATACAGTTTTAAAACAGTACAACAATATTAAAATATATAAATATAAAATTTAAAATACAAACAATTTAAAGAGTTAAACTAGTTATAAATTAAAATATAACATGTTAAAATACAAACCATTAAAATTGATATTGTGCAATATTTTAAACCCAGCCTGTATCAGTTTAAAAGGCCTGATTGCACAAAATGTCTTTACTTGGCGCCAGAAGGATGGCAGAGGGATGGCACCTTCCTGGCCTCTCTAGGGAGGGAGTTCCAAAGCTTGGGAGCAACCACTGAGAAGGCCCTCTCTCTTGTTCCCACCAAACAAATCTTTGCACCTCAAGATCTTGTCTAATTCTTTCTTAGCTGCCCTTCCAAGTCCCAGTTTTCTTCTCATTTCTTAGCTGCAATTTCTATTCCGATTAATGACTGAACAGTGGTATGGAAATCTTGAACTATTTCAGTGTCTACATCATCTCCTTTAAAGTTATGTAAATCATTTGTAGTCATTCTTTTTGTTATCTTAATATTCAACTGTAAAGCTGCCCTTGCACTTTTTTCAGTAATCGCTCCGGGTCTTTCCAGGTTTTCTGCTAGTAGTATGGTGTCATCTGCATATCTTAAATTGTTGATGTTCTCCAGTTTTCATGCCTCCTTCCTCCAAATCTTATTCTGCTTTATGTATATGCTCAGCATACAAGTTAAACACATAGGTAATAAATTACAGGATTGCCTTGCCAACTGGAAGCCATTCTGTTTCTCCATATGCTGTCCTAAAACTAGCCTCTTGTCCTGAATACAGGTTACACATCAAGACAACAAAATGTTGTGACACACCCGTTTCTTTAAGAACAATCCATAGATTTTCATGATCTATATCAGGGGTCGGCAACTTTTTGCCGACGGGGTGGGTGTGGGTGGGAAATGGCGCTGGAGGCCAGTGCGCACGCTTCCACCCTCTCGCACGTATGACGCCATTTTGAAAAACAAAATGGTGACCGCTCCCCACGTTGCATGCTCGCGCGTGCATGTGCATAACGGCGGGGGGCCCCCAGAAGGGATCCCTCGGCCATGCCAGGCCTCTGAGAGGCCCAGTGCTGCTGCGTGGGCCCCCTAGGAGGCTTCCCTCGGCTGCGCTGGGCTTCCAAAATGGATTCCAAAATGGCGCTCCGGAGGACCCCCGCTGCCGCGAAAGGCGGTGGCAGCGGCACGGCGGCAGGATTGGGCAGGGGCTGGTCCGAAGGCCTCCGCAGGCTGTAGGTTGCCAACCCCTGATCTATATAATCAAAGGCTTTGCTGTAATCTATAAAGCACAAACTGATTTGCTTTTGAAATTGTTTGGTTTGCTCCATTATCCAATGTACATTTGCAATATGATCCCTAGTTCCTCATCCTTTCCTGAACCAGATGTTGTACCATCTATTCCTGGTGATTTATTTCTCTGAGTGCAGCTCCCACTTCACTTTTGGAAATTGGAGGTTGTCTTCATATGGTTCTTTCTCAAATGAATCTGTCACCCTTTGCAGATTTGCCCAGTTGGAAATCTTGCTGCATCGTCCACTTCCCTGCTTGATCACACACCCAGAGTGGCTCACTGGGAGGTCAGTTTGTTTCTTAAAGCCAAACAGTAATCGAAAAAATGGTTCCCTAATCGAAACTGCCCATGTGGAGCAAGAGAGGGCCAGTGGCAGGCTGGTCTGACCCACCCCACTGTGGCCTGCTCCTATGGCCCACAAAGTTTCTGCTATTGGAATGGCTGCTGAATTCAGTAGCAGGGCACCGACCACCCTCCAGCAATAAGTGGGTGGATGGGCTCCAGTGTATGTGTGTCCCCTTCCCCACCACCACCACAACTCAAAAGATGGGT